AACGGGAAAACCACAAAAAGGAAGGCCCCCCCCCCCCCGTTTGCTCCTTCTGAGTATTTCTGTGCCGCCTCTTCAGAGTCCTGCTGTCGTTCTTGTGAATCATCCCCCAACTCTGCGCTGACCTCTTGAGGCGGGTTCTAAGGTGCAGCGCAGGCGTCTGAGCAGGTTTCCCCCTGAGCTCCACGGGGCTCCCTCCCTCCAAAGGGGGTTTGGGGTTTCAGACTAAATGTGTTCCCCTTGAAGGTGCCGCCAGACTCCCTTTTGTGTTTTCAAGACTCTGACCCATCTGTCTGTCTCTTGGGGCATCCAGACATTTCCACGGGGGTGGGGGGAGTAGAGGGAGTTCGTGAAGGGCTGTGGGGTGGGGGAATTGCTCCTGGGCTCCCCCTCCTGTTGGGTCCTGGAACTCCTTCCGGGGCCTTCTATGTGCTGCCCACAGAGAAGCCACCTAAAACCTTTTATTAGGACCAACCCCCCCAAACATTGGGCAGCTGGCAGAGGTTTTTGTCAGGATGGATGTGGTGGGTGAGTGGAGGAGATGCTAGTCTAGGCCATGATCTTCTGGGCTCTTGGCCAACATCCTGTGTAGGACGGATGGGTGCTTTGCGGGCTTCATTGGGTGTGGCTGGTGTCCGTCTTAGGGTGAGAGGCGAAAGGAGCAAAAAAACAGAGTTCCTGTCAAACGAAGAATACCCGGGGCCGCATCTCGGAATACCCTCCATGCCCCAGTAGGAATCTCCAGAGGTCGCCATGACTTCTGACACGGGCACGCACACACAGATGCAAAAATACCAAAAAAGCAAAAGCGAACATCACGACCAATGAGATGACACAGCTGTTCCCTGGCTTTGTTGTGGGCCCCTGTGGCTGCCCCTGTGTCTTTGGGGCTTGTCTCTTGAAGGGGAAGAATAGCCCCTCCCCCAGCAGGGTGGGGTGTCAGAAGTGGTTTCTGGTTTCGTTCTGCTTGTAGCTCATGTTGTGCAAGAGGGCTGCTGTTCTGGTGGGAGAGACCACAGAGGAGCTGGAAAGCCACAAACGACTGAGAGTCGAGGTGTGTAGAGGACTCAGTTGGCTTTGTGTGTCCTTTGAAAGAACCTCACTGAAATATACTGGGTTCGAGACGCGTCGTGTGATTAGCTCATAGTTTATTAGGAAATCAGCTCAAACGAAGGACAAACTAGCGGGGCTGAAGCCCGGCTTCTATGCATGCACAATGCCACACCCACCCACTCCCCAGGAGAGGACATTTATATTGCATGGATCCTCCCTTTGGGCTGCAGGTCTCTCGCCCAGGCGGCAGCAAAAGAAGCTTCCGGAGCCTCGGAGCAAGAGGCAGTTGACTGTGGGGGAGGGAGGGAGGGGGAGGAGCCAGCCAATGCGGAGATTCCCCCCCCCCCAGACCCAGTCCAGGGATTGGCCAAGGCCTGTGACACCCCTGCCCTTTCATCCTTTCTCCTTCGGGGGTCCTCAGTGTGTTGCCTCTGTGGGCACCAGGGGCACCTACTGACCCCTCTTGTGGTGCCGCAAAGGGTTTTTAGAAAATGGGTGGGCCCAGGTGGGGCTTTTGCCCAACAAGGCTTTTGATTGGCCGGTGGAGGTTGGATTGTTTTGGCGGCAGCCGCCTCCACAGCCCCAGGATCTTCCGTGTGCGACTGAAGGGGAAGCCGTGGCGGCCATTTTGTGGCTGGCTCCACCTCCTGCAGCAGCCATTTTGTGACCGTCGTTTTCTGGCTGGGCCCACCATACAGAGTTCCCAAGGTGCTCTCACAGGCTCAAAAACGTTTGGGGACCCCAGTTCTACTTAGTTAGAGAAGGCCTGGGGCAGTCAAGGGCAAATACTGCGCTGCCTGCTTCTGAACCGGACACCCGGCAGCCCTACGAAATGGGTCAAACCAGCAGCTGCCCCTTTCACCCCGCCATTCTCTGTGGCGGCTCCCTCACTATGGAAGGGCCTCGCCTGAGGCTATTTGGGGAGCCTCTCTCTCTCTCTCTCTCTCCCCTCCCCACACACACACACACACGGATATGAATAAAGAGTGGCAGCATGTGAATGGAGGTTCTTGTGGGAAGGGCCAAGCTGGGGCGGGATAGGGGGTCCAGCTCAGGGGGGGGGGGCTTTTGTGAGGGAGAAAGTCTCTTCCACAGTGATGGTCCTGCTGTCTTTAAGCGGTCTTTTTTGCTTGCGTGGGGGCTCCCCTGTTTCGTCCCCCCTGCGTTTCCTCACCCTTGCACTCTGCCTCCAGTGTTGGGAGTGGAGGAAGGTGTGCTGCCGTCCCCTGCCTCAGACTTCAGAGACAGCATCAAATGGGGGTGGGGGGGTGAGGGCCTGGGGGTGCCCTTCCTCAATGGCAGCCCCCTTAACTCTGCTCCCCCTTTTCTCTTTGTCTCTCTTCCCCCCTCCAGGCTCCTCCTCTTCCCACTTTCGCAACTTCTACCTGGCGGTGTCTGAGCCCGGCCCGGGGCTGCCCCAGTTCATCGCTGTGGGCTACGTGAACGACCAGCCCATCGATCGCTATGACAGCCACACCCGGAGGAACGTGCCCGTAGCCCCCTGGATGGAAGAGGTCAGGAATGAGGACCCCCAGTACTGGGAAAGGAATACCCAGATACTGCAGGACTGGGAGTCTGTCTTCAGAGGGCGTCTGGTGAGGCTGCGGGAGCACTTCAACCAGCAGAACAGCACAGGTGAGTGGAGGGGGGAGGGGCCGGCCGGAGCACCTCCCCCTCCCCCCTGTCCCTCCCTCCCCAGGGCCAGAGAAGGGGGAGGGGCTGCGCTGAAGGGGGAAGGAGGGAGGAGAAGCCCCTCCCCAGTTGGAGCAGGTATGGGGGGGAGTGGGGCAAATGTGGCTCTTTTTTGGGGGGGAGGGGGGCTGTGGAATCCCCACAACAAGGGGTGTGTGTGTGAAACAAATGGGGCAGTCCCCTCCCCCCTTTCTCCTATAGGTGGTGTGTGGGGGGGCCCTGCTGCCTGATGGAAGAAAGGAGGACTTTGTGGGGGGGGGGCTGCTTGCTTCTCCCTGGAGAGGAGCTCCTTTTTTTACTTCAGAAATTCACGTATCCGTCCCCCCCCTTAAGGTGACGGCCCCACCCCGTGTCCCCAGGGGCAAAAGAGGGTGGCCTGCCTCAGCACTACTTTGGGGGATGGAATAAAAGGCGATTCCTCCCCCTCCCATTTTGATACCACCCAGTTCCAAATGGGATAAATGCAATCCCCCCCTTCCAGGAAAAACCAGACCCCGCCCCCTTACCATTTCTGGGAGAAGACCAAAGACTAATGTTAGGACCACAGTTGGGCCAGGTCCTCCCCCCCCACTCTGCCTATCGTACACTATTTCCTCCTATAAACCTCTCCCCCCCCCCAATTTCCCAGGGGGGCTGGGTCTCTTCCTGGGCTTGAGGCGCCCTCCCTCTGGGGTCAGTTTGCGGCTGTGTGTGTGTGGGGGGGGGGAGGACACACAGAAAGAGCAGCGGAGGGAGCGGCTGTTTTGTGTGCACTATGCAATACTTACTTTCCTGTTACACCTTAACTTCTTTTACTGATTTAACAAGGAATGCATCTGTGGAGAAACGCCATTTTATGCATATGTTTAAGTTGGTGTGGGCCAGATAGGAGGGGACCATCAAACCTGAGGTAGGCCTCGGCCTAGTCTCCTCCTCATCCCTCCCTCCCCCCTATCTCCAACCAGTAGTCTGCAGGCAGCTCCCTAGAGAGGACAGGAAGTCCATCAAGGCTGAGAGGAGATCTGCCCCAGAATGCTGCAGGAGGGAGAGCCACTTCCTGGGCGGGATGAGCTGTTTGATATAATGGAGCTTTTTGGGCGGGAAGAGGTCGGTCTGCCTGGAGTCTGGAGCCAGTCAGGCTGTCGGCTGGAGTCTGCAGGAGGCAGAGAGGCCATGTTGGGAGTTGTGCTACTCTCATCAGGGGTGCTGGGTCCTGCGTCCCCCAACCGGGCCCTGCCACCACCCCCTATAGGTGGAAAGCCTCTCCACCACGTCGTGACGTCATCAACTGTAGGCATAACATTCCCTGAGCTCTGCAGTTTCCAGCTACTGTCACAAGTGTTTTAACTTGCAGTTTCTGGTGTACCCAACAAGATATTCTCTTGATTCTTTCACTGCAGTATTCCAGACACTTCACACTCGCTTACAGTGTTACTGAGTTCAGTTTCCCTTGCATATTTGAGTGTATGTTTCGTATAATTTACATACAAGCATATCAGAGGGGAAAGTGGTGGATGTCTGTTGTATGATGGTATTGTCAAATAACTTCTGGTTTTCAGTATTACTTTTTATTTACCATTGACACAGCATGAGATAGAAATATGCACACTCATACTTATTTAAGAAGTTTTCACATACAGTAAACTTGAATCATAATCTCCAGTGACCAAAAAAAAACCAGCCACACAGCTTACTACCACATATGTATAGGAAACCACGTTGATAACACCTTGTGTTGGATATTTCAAACCACCTCTATCTAACCTACTAATCACTGGCGACTTGTAAACCTTCTGCCACGGGTGAGTTGGAAACCTGCAATGCAAGCTTTACAGTCTGCCTTTCTAAGTTTGTTGGACACAAAGCCTTCAATGTAAGTGGATAGGCAAACCATTATCTTTATTAATGTTGAAAACCATTGACACAGCATGAGATATTAATATGTACAAACTCATACTTAGGTAAGACATTTTCACATACAGTAAACTTCAATTATAATCTCCAGGTTAATCTTCCATGGGAGAGTGGGGTGGGGGTTCGAACCTGGCTTCCCCAGATCCTGCCCCCTCCCCACAGGAGGGACTGCCGTGGCTACGCTGCACCAGACGTTCTCCTTGGTCACAATGGCCAAGTCCCCTCAGCCGCTGGGCCTTCCTGCTTCCTCAGCACATAAACAGGGAATGACGGTGGTCGTAGGGGGTGGGATTCAAGGACGGGAAGCCCCCCCGCCCCATGACATAATGGTGCCTGCCCCACAGTTCCACAGGCAGTCCCTCTTGTGTGTGGGACCTTGTTTTCTGCAGTCTGGAGACCAGCTGGGACTTTCTGGAACCCTCCTCGGGAGGACCAGTGCCGGGACGTGTCGGCTTCCATCCTGCCTCTGGCTCTGTCCTCTGGGCAGCTGGGATCGAGCCCAGGAGCCCCCGCGAGCTCAACCAGATTTTTTAATGAGCTTTCCAGAGTCAATCTCCGAGTGTTTGCTCTCAAAAACTAAAATGCTAGTGATGTTTGGGCCTTCATCGATCGGAGAGTTTCCGTCTTAGGAAATCTCCTTCGGTGGCATCAACTGGCACACCCCACTTGGGACACTGATCTTTGGTCACCTGCAAGTCCCTAGTGGCATTTGCAGCACAGAAGTAACTACAAAAAATATTTTATTCCTTATTTATTAAAATATATCCCTTCTTTCCCTCATGAAAACGTGGCTTTTGTAGCATCTCCTGAAAATCCCTAAAGATGGCATGGCCCACCCCTCACCCCCTCTGGGAGCCCCTTTTGCTGTGGCGCAGGGAGGGGGTTTGCTATAATGGAGAAGCCCCAGGCTGTGGTTGATGCCTGGCGGGCAGCCTTTAGTGGTGAAGCAGGCAACAGGTTGCAGGCTGAGGAGCATAAGTAAGTGCTCCTCAGTTCTTTAGGTATGTGGGCTATGAAAAGCTTGGAGGGTCATAAACAGCACCCTGAATTGGACTCCGAAACAAACTGGCGGCCAACGCAGCTCTTGTCAAATAGGCCAGATATTTTTCTCCCTGTCTGGCTCCTGACAATAGCTGCCTTGCCGCCTTCTGGATCAGCTGCAGTTCTCGGGGTTGTCTTCAAGGGCAGCCCAACTGAGAACGTATTATGGTAGCCCAGCTGTGTGAGTGAGGGCCCTTGGCCATTATAGTGGAATGTGAAATAAAAAATTCTTCGTGACTGACAAAACACCACCACTAGGTGGCAGCACAGGATCACTTTTCGTAAATGGGACCTTCAGGGTTCATACTTGAACACCTTGGAAATACACTTTATGAATCATATTGATTTCATGGTAACTGCTAGCAGCACCACATATTACATGTTTTCCTTCAAAAATTACAATACCTGGCATTTACTTGTGGACAGTTCATTTGTTTAAAAATCCAAGAGAAAGGACTGTGAATTCATCTTTAAAATACCTCTGGGCACCAAGGTGCTGTTTATTAGTTAATGGGCAAAACTAGTCTTGACATTTTAGCCAAAAGCACAAGCAGATTTTGGTTTGGGGACGTGGTTGACGTTGACCGTCCTCACAGAGTACATCGTCCCCTCCTCCCAGAAAAACTCAGACTGAATGAGTGAAATCCATTCGCTAAAAATCCATGTTTGTTCAAAGGTGGAGTGCACACACACCCCTTCCAGGGGAAACTGGCCTGAATTACAACATGGTTTCTAGTCATCCCGGTGCTGGGGAAAGGTGTCCTACTCTGATATTAGTTTGTGCACACAAATGCCAAAGAATTAAAGTCAGGTCAAATAGCTTCTTTAGCTTTTTGATCTCCCCCTGGCCAGACAGGGGGTGTCTGGGAGACACACACACTCACATTCCCACTCCCAAATTTGGGGGAAGCTGGAGGCTGAGGGGGGCCAGGCAGGAGGAAAAGGGGGATGCTCCGCATAGTACCCAAGATCTAACAGGTGCTTCATGTTAATTTTGTGTCCCCTTGAGCTGCAATCTTTGATCAGGGGAAGAAAGGAAGAAATGTCTCAAGTGTGCTTTAAATGTTATATTTAAAGAAACTGAGGGTGATTTCTCACGAGAGCTGCCTTGCAGCACAGCGCCGTTTGCCTCGACACAAACGTGTCAATTTCACACCCGAAGCTCCGGGGCTGCATTTGACTCGGGGCTTTGCCCGATTTCCTCCGCAGTTTCATGATCCTCAAAAACCAGGATCACGAAACTGCGGAGGAAATCGGGCGAAGCCCCGAGTCAAAATGCAGCCCCGGAGCTTCGGGTGTGAAATTGACATGTTTGTGTCGAGGCAAACGGCGCTGTGCTGCGAGGCAGCTCTCGTGAGAAATCACCCTGAAAGTTTTACGTGGAAAATATTTTGATTGGGATAATCCTTGATAAAATTTAAACACAGTACGAGTACTTCCCTTTCATTTCCTGAGTAGTAGGGAATATCTGTCAGAAGCCCCGTAAACCTGTAACAGGTTAATTTTTGCACACCCCAAGAGCTGAGCACTCCACGGTTATAATTTTGGTCCATGGAGGTCCCTCTGGGGCCCTCGTTGGTCATGTGACTTGTTAGTTCTATATCAGAAGGAAGGTTCTGTCCACCACATGAGAAGAGATAGAAGAATGAGATTTTTAGCTCTTTTTATACTTGACCTGCAGACCCAGGCCAGGTGCGTTTTGTGAGTTAACTTGGATGATTATTAACATATGTGTGCACTCACACAGTTCTTGGGGGCGATCACACCACAAACATTCGTTACAACTGTGAATATGCCTGGCTTGCCTAATATTGTGTTGGCAGTGACAGCCAGCCATGGGTGTTAATTGTATGAAACAGATATAAAAAGATGAGAAAATACTGCAGAAAAGGAAAGGACTGGAGATTTTTCTGTGCCCTTTCTCTGGCTAGAACTGTGACACTTGACTGGCTACCAACTCTTGTGAACTGTGCCTTCAAAGCTTCAAGTTTCCAAATTTTGATTTAAACAAGTTACTTAAAAACCCAGCCGAAATACAAAGAGAACGGAAAGGAGCACGGAATACAATTAATTTTAGAAATAAACATCTACCCCCAAAGTGTTATGGTTTTGCAGTTCCACTGTCTATGAATAAAATTTGAGTTACGATATTCCAGTTTCCAAGAACAACCATTTGTATTCATAGAAACGTTTCCTTAGTTTATGCAGAATTAAGCTTAGCACAGAGGTGTCACATTTTTAGAAATTTTGAAGGCGCACACACACACACACACACACACACACACACACACACACACACACAAATTTTTTTCCCTCCAGGTGAAATTGAAATCTATGCAATACTTACTTTCCTGTTACACCTTAACTTCTTTTACTGATTTAACAAGGAATGCATCTGTGGAGAAACGCCATTTTATGCATATGTTTAAGTTGGTGTGGGCCAGATAGGAGGGGACCATCAAACCTGAGGTAGGCCTCGGCCTAGTCTCCTCCTCATCCCTCCCTCCCCCCTATCTCCAACCAGTAGTCTGCAGGCAGCTCCCTAGAGAGGACAGGAAGTCCATCAAGGCTGAGAGGAGATCTGCCCCAGAATGCTGCAGGAGGGAGAGCCACTTCCTGGGCGGGATGAGCTGTTTGATATAATGGAGCTTTTTGGGCGGGAAGAGGTCGGTCTGCCTGGAGTCTGGAGCCAGTCAGGCTGTCGGCTGGAGTCTGCAGGAGGCAGAGAGGCCATGTTGGGAGTTGTGCTACTCTAACCTCCTCCAAAGAAAGCAAGTAATGTGCCTGCCCTGCAGACCATCTAGACAGGGCATCAGTGTAGTGCAGGGAGAGATGGAGTGATTTATTATCCACCTTTATTTTGATTCTTCAGTTCACTGTTAATATGCCTGTATATAAAGTGTTTTCAAAATAAATCCTTTTACTGTTGACATTGAGAAGTCCCTCTGTACCGCATAGTTCCCCCAGCCGCTTGGACACACTAGGAGTGGGTTGGGGACTCCCTGAGGAAGAGAACAAGGGTAAAATGGCCAGTTGCTAACTCTCCAGGGGAGCCCCAAAGATTGCCAGGAAGCCCCGAGGTGGGTTCCTAGTGACATCAGAGGGAGGTTAGGAGGCTGTCCCGCCTGACCAGAGCCCAAGACAGGGACAGTGGTGGCAGCAATACCCGGAGTCAGGGGTGAAAAGCTGCCCCTTCAGGGGCCAGGCCAGGCAAAGGAGTGGTGGGCAGAGCGGGGTCTGCCAGCTGACGCGGGCCCGTTCCGCCACAGCATCTTTTAGGACTTTGTTGACATGTAATGTGAATGTGCCACCCAGTCGCTGTGGACTCTTAGAGACTCCACCCTGTGGGGGTTTCAAGGCAAGAGATGAGCAGGGGTGGTTGGCCATTGCCTTCACTGAACTGCACTATTTGGCACATGTCTATGGAATGGAATGCTGTGAATATCTTAGGATACATAAACAGAAGCATTGTGTCCAGATCAAGGGAGGTGGTAGTTCCGCTCTATTCTGCTATGGTCAGGCCCCACCTGGAGTCCTGTGTCCAGTTTTGGGCACTGCATTTTAGGAAGGATGTTGACAAGCTCAAGGGTGTCCAGAAGAGGGCAACTAGGACGGTGAGAGGGCTGGAATCCAAGTCTTAGGAGGAAAGGCTGAAAGAGTTGGGTCTGTTTAGCCTGGGAAAGAGAAGGCTTAGAGGGGACATGATTGCAGTCTCCAAGTATTTGAAGGGCTGTCATGTAGAAGATGGAGCGGATCTATTCTCTCTTGCTCCGGATTGCAAGACTAGATCTAATGGGTGGAAATTATAAGGGAGTCGTTACCGGCTAAATATTAGGAGAAACTTCCTAACTGTAAGAGTGGTTGAGCAGTGGAACAGTCTGCCTCGGGAGGTGGTGGATGCTCCTTCGCTGGATGTTTTCAAGCGGAGGCTGGACAACCATCTTTTGGGTATGTTGTAGGTATGTAGGGCTGTCTTTCAGTATACTCCTGCAAAGTGCAGGGGGTGGGACTAGATGACCTGCAAGGTCCCTTCCAACTCTTAACATTCTATGATTCTAAGAGACCTTAAAAATGGCCAGCGTGTACTTGAGAAACAGTTGCAAACTGCTGCATCCGATGTGACTGCAGCCCCCGTGGATCTTTAATTTTTGCTATCTCAGAGGGAAGGGAGATCAGATGAAGGTGGAGAAATTCTGCCATAAACAGAAGAAAGTGCATTCCTACAAGAATGGAGTCACAATAGGTAGGGAAATTCAGCTCAACACCATACTGAAAACACTTAAGAGCTTTCATAATGTATCATTGTTTCCCAGTCTTTCTATTTAAAGTGAAATGTTTTCCCTTCAGAAACATTTTTCTTAATTTTAAAAGAGAAAATATATCACCACAGGTTGGTGGTTTTTTCCCAGTGGATGCCCAAATTTTCCATTTTTTCCATTGAGAAGTATTGAAAAAGTCCCTTTCCCCCTTGGCCTTCAAGCCTGTGTCCCTCCCAGCCACATAACATATTATATGTGGCTATGGGGGATTATAGTCTGACCCCGTGTAAAGCATCCTACATTATGTTCAGTGCAGAGATTTCGGTCATCCCCCTCCCCCACACACACATTTGGAACTGGAGTCAAAAAATTATTTAAACTTAGTAAAAACTGAGAGGTTGCTCCCCCCCACCCTTTTAATTTTCAGGAGGGAGGGGAAATGTGTTGCCGGGACGAAATCTCATTGGCTGCCAAACAAAGGAATGAAATCATGACTGTTCTGATTATTCTGTTCACTTGGAATCTGACCCTTTTGCATGGACGCGGATCCCCTCCCCCCCTCCCGTAGCCCAAAACCAAACTTAGTCCAGGACCGGGCAGGAATTCCTGCAGGAGAGCTCGGGTTGCCAGTTCTGGGCTGGAAAATACCTGGAGACCTTGGGGGTGGAGCCAGGAGAGGGCGGGGCTTGGGGAGGGGCCTCAGCATGGTCCAATGCCACACAGCCCCCCCCCCAAAGCAGCCATTTTCTCCAGGGGAGCCGATCTTTGTCAGCTGGAGATCAGCTGTAAAAGCAGGGGAATCTCCAGGCCCCACCTGTAGGCTGGCAACCCTATGGAGAGCTCCCCTTCTGCGGGAGGGAAGGCCGCTTGGCAAACAGTTGGCCCCACAGAGAACTGAGGGCCGGGAGGGGGGCGTTCCCGTTTTTTGTTTGTGGGAGAGAAAATGGCAATGTGGGGCAGGGCAGGAGTCCTCCCAAAAGGAGGGGGGTTGGGGGGATTTCCGAGCCCCCCTCCTGGAGGGCTCCATGTTGCTGGGGGAGAGAGAAGCATCCCTTTGAGTTGAGGGATGGAAAGGGGGTCCCCTCCCCCACAGAGAATCCATTGGAGGACCCTCGAGTGCGGTGGGGGGTGGGGTGTCCCTCTCCTTCCGAGGCATGCCCCAAGCCAGTGATTGCCCCCCAACCCCTTTCTTACGCTACTAAATCCCCCCCCCCAAGTATGCAAAACCACAACGAAATGGGGGGAAGCATCTGCTTCCGCCTCCCTCCCACCCACCCGATTGTTTTTCTCCTAAGAGGCGGGTTCCTGGGGGGGGGCGCACTGGGGCACGGATCTTCTGGGCGGCCCCTGGGGGGTGGGTTGCCGGCCTCCAGGCAGCGCCTCAGGAGGATCTTCCAGACTCCTTACAACGGATCTGCAGACTACAGGGATCAGTTCGCCTGGAGGAATGGTGGACTCTCCCTTATGGACTTGACGGGAGATCTCTCCCTGCCCTCCCCGGGCGCCATTCCCCCCCCATCTCCAGGAGTTTTCCCAGACTGGAATTGGCAAGCCAAGCAGCCCCTGTGAAGAACAGAGAGACCTCCAGTGGGAGGGGCTGGCCTTTCCGCAGCCTCCGCCCCAGGGCCGTAGCTAAAGCCCTCCTAGTGGGAGGGCCCTGGGGAAAGGGGGCCCCCAGAGTGTGTGTTTGTGCGCGCATGCGCGCGCCTCACACACATCACCGGGAGTGGCGTAATGGCCTCCCCTTCTCTGGCCCTGACTGTCAGGGTCCCGGCTCCGGCCACAGCCCTTCCTGCCTTGGTGGCGGCCCGCCTGTCGCTTCCTACCCACCCACGGCGGCAGGCCCGCCTCCCCGCCCGCCCGAAAGCGGGGGCCGACCGGCCAGAGGACAATGGAACTCTCTGCAGTCGCCGCAGCCCGAGAGGGGAGGAGAGGCAAGGCAACCCAGGCCCGTAGCTAACATGGGGCCCACGGGGCCCGGCCCCCTTGTGTTTCTTCTGGGCCCCCTCCTTCCAGG